TACTGCAGTAAAATAATATGAGGATGAGTAATATTTGCTTTTATAATGTTATGCAGCAGATATAACTAAATAAATATTCTCTGTTTAGGACCCGTGTCAGGTTGTAATTAGGACCAGCTAGCTAGCGGAAGAACTCGGTCAGAAGACCAAATCTTCAGCGGTGGGTCATCATATGCTTAAGACTCGAGGTTGTAACGAATTTTACCTAACTTAACTTATGAGGATGTAATGGTCAGGACCTGTGTCAGAAGTCACTTGTCCGTTTTCCTTACGAACAAAACACCAATATGACCGCTGGGAAGGATTTTCAGAAGCTTAGCGCTATTATTATTTTTATTAATATACGGAAACTAAACTCACTGGAGTCCTATAACAGTCGCAAATGCTAAATAATAAACTTTGTGTCAAGTAGACTGCATCCACATAACCTTGGATCAGGATTCCGTCACGGTCATTAAGGCAACCATTTGAAAAGCTTTGTAGTATATAGTCTTAACATGTCAGTGTTAGCCAGATAGAACTTGAATGCATTACAGTAACACTGCATGAATAACAGCCAGAATGGTGGCGGGTGAGGCAAATATAACTTCCTTTCAAAAAATTATGTCCATATTTATTGCAGATATATGACAACGTATGAAGCTATTTTAGCATACACGATTTGTGTCACACACACACACACACACACACACACACACACACACACACACACACACACACACACAATTCTGATACAGGGCACGACTGATTTTGAGGATACATTTACCGAGAGGTGTACATCTCTCAGAGAATATACACTCAGAGTTTACTTCAGTCGCTATCTTTAAATAGCAGAGTATACTTGTTGATGATGAGCAGTTGACACTCACCTATAATATCTATCGTGTAGTAGATGGGCTTTCAACCCCATAGACCAACAAACCACCTATTTGATCTCTCTCTCTCTCTCTCTCTCTCTCTCTCTCTCTCTCTCTCTCTCTATATATATATATATATATATATATATATATATATATATATATAATATATATACATAATATATATATATATATTTATATATATATATACACATAATATATATATATATATTATAATATATATATATAATATAATTATATATATATTATATATATATATATATATATAAATATATATATATATATTAGTGAGATCTGTATTTCACAGTGAATATACAATGAGAGATCAAGGAAGGATTAAAGAATCCTTGACTAGTGGCGTGTATGTTGCATGTGGATTTAATGACCCTCGTACAGTGAAGAGGATTAAACCTAGTTTAAAGCGATTAAAGAGAATTCATCAACAATATGCACACCGAGAGGTTTGTATTTCTTAGTTTATACACACCAGGAGTGTAACTCCCAGTATATATACATTGATAGTTCACCTAATTCTTGCTTAAGGGATGGAAATATTCTTGTTTGGTGGTAAATAGAATATATCCATCCTTAATAGCCAAGGGGTAGTCAACAGGAGTTTAAAAATTTACCCTACCAGCTAATTCGTCCGTAGCATATTAGTTCCTTTAAGAAACTATTTTCACAAATTTAACTTTTATTGAAATTCGTATTATATATATATATATAATATATATATAATATATATATATATTTTAATATATATATATATATATATATATATATATATATATATATATAAAATATATATATATATATATATAATATATATATATATATATGTGTATGTATGTATGTCGTGCCGAATAGGTAAAACTGGCCAATTAGCAAGAACTCTTTTAAAATTATGTAAGTCGTTTCTAAAAAATTCTCTTATACGTTAAAGATATAGTTTTTTCATTTATGTTAATGTAATAATTAATAATTTTGTACCAAAAGAATCTTAGGAAACTTACCTAACTTTATTATATCAAGCGCAATTTAATTTAGCCTAATCCAACTAAATATATTTTGAATAAGTTTACAGTATGTTAATGATAAACAAACATATTTTTTTTTTCTCGTTAGGTTCAGAATGATTTTTGCGAAATTATTGCATACATAAATTTTCGCTTGCCTTAATCGGCAAGAAGAGCGTTGCTATTTAAGCCAAAATTGTGAGTTTTACCCATTCGGCACGACGCATATATATACATAAGTGTAAAATTACCACAGTGAAAATAGGGAATCATAATTGAGCGCTTTCATGTTCTTGCACACACATTCCTCGGAAGTTATGAATGTAAACACATGAAAACGCTCAGATTTTATTTCCTATTTTCACTGTGGTATTTTTGCATGTTTGCAATCACGCTTTTTGTATACTGCTATCACAGGTATTATGTATACCTGCTATCACAGGTATACATAATATGCATTATACATTAATTTGTCTTAAGTATACCAGTCAATAAGTTTTCATCTGTGATGGTTAAGAACTTCTGTGGGTTGATACGTGGAAGCTGTTCCTATTACAGATTGATATGTGAAGGTCCAAGCTTATATTTGCTGTCTATGGTTCGTTGATATTTGAAGGTCAACATATGTAGTCAGAAGCCTTCGTATCAGTAGTCTCCTGTTAGCACACCAGTATTTCAGATATCTGGAGACGTGCACTACACGTCTAACTACACTACTACTCATCATTTTCTCGAGGCCATTACAGGTGCACTCTTACCTCTCAAAGTGTAATCCAAAATCTAAACTCATAAAGTCCAATCAACTCACAGATGTAGCCCAAAGTCTACACATGTGTGCTGTAATCCTTTCACTATAAACGGTCCTGAGCAGTAAGATGTCGCATGTCTGGCTGAAGTGCTGGTAACGCAGGATCGCTAACGAGTCTGAAACATCTCGCCATTAGACTTTGGTTAAGCTACAATGGGCAATAAATATTTTTGTAGTCATTTAAGCGTCCTTGCCTTAATTCTTCCTCGACACATATTTCTGCTCATGACGAAAACTTTCTTTAGGCGGAAAGAATGTTAAGGTTAGACAGTAATGTTCGAAGCGTCCCTTCCGGTTTCTCTGTCTGTGTCTATCTGTCTGTGTCTGTGTGTCTGTCTGTCTTTTTCTCTCTCTCTCTCTCTCTCTCTCTCTCTCTCTCTCTCTCTCTCTCTCTCTCTCTCTCTCTCTCTCTCTCTCTCTCTCTTCGAACATGGCGTAGGAGTCGGGCGAATGATATACAGGTACATAATTCCTTCATTTAATGGAGAGTATTTTAGTCTTGTGCCTGTTGAACAGACGTCAGGTAGCAACCATGGACCCTGACACGCATATACACACAAGTAGCCACAAGCGCTCTTACATGGAACCTCCCACTAAAATTGTGTTGCTCTAGCAACCTCGAATATATATATATATATATATATATATATATATATATATATATATATATATATATATATATATATATATATATATATATATATATATATATATATGCATGCAAAACAACCACTGTAAACGAGTAGCGAAATTCCAAGCACTTTCGTGACTACTCACATTGTCAAGGAACTATGAAAGTAATACATCAAAGGAAGGCAATTAAAGGGCTTAGACCACACCTCACAGTCAACTCCCACAACAAAGAAACACCTGACGCGCGACAATACCGGACTCATAAGAAAAGAGGAACACTGCAATAGGTCCGCTGGTCCAACTAGACAGGTCCTCACGACATCCCACTAACAAATTATTCTACCCAAGAAATAAGGTTTATTATTTGTCCAATGTATTATTAAACTCTAACCAAATTTTATTAATTATAAATGAATCTAATTTATATAAACCTAAGGAAATATTCATATTTTTAAAACTGCTTTTTATGAAACAAGATTCAATTACATTTCTGTCAACCATGGGCTTGCTTGAAACAACTTTCTCAACTTTCTGAAAATCAATTGGATGGTTAAAATCTCTCACGTGAATAAATAGAGCATTGGAATCTTGTCCAGTTCTAATGCTATATTTATGTTGTTTTAATCTAAGTTCGAGACTTTTACCAGTTTGACCGTAATAAATTTTATCGCAAATTTTACAAGGAATCTTATAGACACATCCGTCAACATTTAGGGGGGAATTCCTTATCAAGGTTTTTTTACTGTATCAAGATTTTTAAATACAACTTTAATATTAAAAGTCTCAAGAAGAGAAGGCATATCAACCAAGTCTTCATGGTAAGGGAGAACCAACATATTTTTAGTTGTATAAGGTTGGTTGTCCCTTTTTGGGTTGTAAAAAGTATTTCTGGCAATTTTATATTATATATATATATATATATATATATATATATATATATATATATATATATATATATATATATATATATATTTAGTGGCGTGTATGTTGTATATGGATTTAATGACCCTCGTACAGTGAAGGGTCGTAAGGACCTGTCTAGTTGGACCAGCGGACATACTGCAGTGTTCCTCTTTTCTTATGAGTCCGGTAATGTCGCGCGTCAGGTGTTTCTTTGTTGTGGGAGTTGACTGTGAGGTGTGGTCTAAGCCCTTTAATTGCCTTCCTTTGATGTATTACTTTCATAGTTCCTTGACAATGTGAGTAGTCACGAAAGCGCTTGGAATTTCACCTCTCTTTCACAGTGGTTGTTTTGCATATTTTAAAAATCACCTGTTCACTGTGATCTTATTGCATATATATAATATATATATATATATATATATATATATATATATATATATATATATATATATATATATATATATATATATATTATATATAATATATATATATATTTATTTATATATATATATATATATATATATATATATATATATATATATATATATATATATATATATTTATTATATATTTATATATTTATTATTTTATATATATATATTTATATATATTATATATATATTTATATATATATATTATATATATATATATAATATATATATATATATATATATATATATACATATATATATATATATATATATATATATATATATATATATATATATATATATATATATTTTAAAATATACACACATTTATTTGTTATAAGAAAGAGTCTCGTCAGTGTTGAGTTATGGAGTTTAGTCTATTATCTCGCTTTAACTCATAAATTGTTAAAAATTAAAATGCTCAGTTTTCTTAAGCAGATTCTCTGGTGGAACTATTATTTTGTTCAAGATTTGTCACAAAGTTCAAGAGAAAAACGTACACTCACTATCATAATCACCATTATCATCATCATCACTAATCTTCAACAAGGTTTACACAAAGCTTTCGTCACTGGTTTCACCACCCCGAGTCCGTACCACATATTTGGGGTTATTTTTCAGGTCCTCCAGTAAGTGGTACTTGTCCTTTCCACTTCGTCCCCTACAACCACCACCGCCACCACCACTACTGCTACTGTCAACGGCGCCAGTGCGATATGTGGTCTCCACCACTCCAACGCTCCCACTAACGCGATATGGCTCACCACAATCAACACTGCCTCCTACCTGATATGTATCGTGTTCAGTGTTAGCACCACTGCTGCCACCAACGCCGCCGCCACAACGATAGCTATCTCCCAGCATTCTTCCCCCTCCTCCTCCTCCTCCTCTTCCCTGACCTCCAACAACACTACGATATCCGTCGCTCAGAATGCTTCCTTCATCGCTTAGATAACTCTCACTGGCAAAAGTGATACTCCCACGATAGCTATCTGGGCCGAGGTTGCCACTGTTGCTTCTTCGATAGCCCCCACTAGCAATCAGACTACCATCCCCACCTCCTCTGTACGCCTCGCTATGATACCCATCGAAGTCCCTCGTTCCTCTACCGTAATTCCTGGGTAGTGTCTCGGAATAGCGTGCGTACGGAGTGTAACTTTCCCCTGCTAAACTAATAGCAGCAGCGGCGGCGGTGGCGGCGTTATTTGCGGCGGTGAGAGAAGAGTGGTTGATGGGTAGTGCGCCAGAGGGAGAGTAGGAGGATGAGGAGGTAGTGGCGGGGGCAGTGGAGGTCCTCTGAGACCGGGGAAGAGTGCAAGAGGAAGAGGACGGAACGGTGGAAGGAAAGGAGGTCTTGCCTAGACTGTTGTAGTAACCGGCAGAGCCATTGGCCAGCGTCTGCAAGTCAGTGTGGCGCCCCAGTAATGCATCTGTAGGGAAAGAAGACGAAGAAGAATGTAAATATAAGCAGCAAATAATGAAAAATAAGCAATGATTATGCAAAAAACTATGTTCATACAATCAGCAAACTATAAAGAAAAAATTAAAGGCATATATATATATATATATATGCAATAAAATCACAGTAAATAGGTGATATCACAACATGCAGAACAACCACTCTGAAAAGGTAGTGAAATTCAAAGCGCTTTCGTGACTTCACATTATCAAGGAACTATAAAAACAAAACATCAACAGGAAGACACATAAAAGCAAAACTACACCTCGTATTATTATATTATAATCAAGGGGAAAGCGCTAAACCCGTATAACTACACTTCACACTCACGCCACAACACCCGACTCTGTTAAACACAACTGATACTCTACCCAAGCATTAAGATTTTTTTTTTTAAGTAAAAGATAATCTTAATGTTTGGGTAGAGTATCAATTGTGTTTCACAGAGTCGGGTGTTGTGAGGTGACTGTGAGGTGTAGTCTTGCCCTTATTTGCCTTCCTATTAATGTTTTATTTTTATAGTTCCTTAATAATATGAGAAGTCACGAAAACGCTTGGAATTTCACTATTTTTTCAGTGGTTGTTCTGAGAGAGAGAGAAAGAGAGAGAGAGAGAGAGAGAGAGAGAGAGAGAGAGAGAGAGAGAGAGAGAGACAAATAAATAGAAATGCTTCTGAAAATAATAAATAACTCTAAACAAGTGTTCCTATCAAGAAAAATGTTTAGGTAATTACTAATAGTGAGCTCAATGAAAATATTTAAGACATGAAATAAATGCACTATAAACTGGCCCAACATAACATCACTAAGAGTGCAAGAGCTCTGTCTAAAGTGTCGTATGCAAATAGAGCAAAAAATAAACAAACTATGCTTTGAGATCTCTCTCTCTATATATATAAATATTCGACATGAACAAAACTCCATGCAAAGCATTAATCAGAATTAAGGATTGTTGCTGTTGCCGCTGCTCTTGTTGCTTTTCTATTGCTGCCAATAACTTGTTGCTGATGACACTTGTTTAATCCGTGTGTGTGTTTGTTTATTTGTGTGGCTGTTGCATACACCACAACCACACCATCGCTGCTGGAGTTGTTTTCCCAGTCGTTATCAAAGGCTTCGGTATTACCTATTTCCTGACCCTATTTGGTGAAAATCAAATGTTGCTCATATTGGTGAGGGAGGTGGAGAAGTTACTCTACAGACGGGTTGGGGTCATAAAGGAGGTTCCGCAACTCTACGGTCAGCGCCAGCCATGTTTCATTAACTTCTTCCATTGGTTTTGTTGATGTTTATCTAGTCAAGGGTATTTAACTGTTTGACCAAGAGAACTAAATCGAAATTACACTTCTGCTTTACAAATAATAATTATGCTTAAAACCTAAAAAAAAAATTGGTACAATGAGCAACCTGTTGTCTACACTATGCTTAAGAAAATGAAAGAATTACACCCTTTCCTGAAGGGGTTAAATATCCTTAGGTTGAATATCTCTGCTTTGGTTCACTATTCTCATCAACAAGGAGAGGTGCCTTGTTTCCAGTAAAGTGCTCCTATCCAAGAAAGGAGAGGTACCCTCTCCTCTCTTCGATAGAATCCGATTGCCTTCGGTTTCCCAACCGGCTTGTGATCCCTACTAGTTAAACAATTATCTCAGTAACAAAAATATAATAACTACTTTTGCTGATAATGGCAAGTAGTGTGATTTCTCAGTTACAAATAAACATTTTAAAAGTGTTTGTGGGCTTCCTATTTTTTTTTTTTTTTTTTTTTTTTTTTTTTTTTTTTTTTTTTTTTGAGGGCTTATTTCTAAGATCTGTTTTTGGAGGCCAGGCTTGTAAATTTCGATAATGTTTGATCATTAGTGGGGTCTTTGACAAAGAAGTCTGTGTTACTTAGAGTAATTATTCATTCTAGTAATGATTTCTTGTAAGATATTGAAACCCCACCATATCAATAAGCACTTAAAGGAAGTGACAGGTTAGTTTGGGATAAACTGCTAATGTAGATTACTGTTGTGATACTGATCACTACACTGATGACGTAGATGGCAATGTCAAGAAGGATGGTTATGAAGATCCCGAAAAAGCAGGAGGATCGAGCCTCATCTCCTCCTTGCAATGACTGACCTTTCTTATACTGAGCTCATTATATGATTATAATATTACCAGTGATATTAATCAGCCCCCCTTCTCTCTCTCTCCCTCGCTCTCTCTCTCCCTCGCTCTCTCTCTCCCTCGCTCTCTCTCTCCCTCGCTCTCTCTCTCTCCCTCGCTCTCTCCCCCTCGAAACAATGCACCAAAGGATCCTGCCCACCTGAATTAGGGTTTTAAATTATGCAGTATACCGCAGTTGTAACCTGTTCTCCCTCCGTCCCTAACCTCGCCTCTAACCATCCTCCATGTCTACATCACTCCACAACTAACCAAAGCTTTCCCTTTTCACTAACCCTTTATTAGTACATCCCCCACCTACTCCACTTGTTTACTATTAGCCAAACCCTCTAGCTTCTCAACCCCAAAATTAACCAAATCTCCTCAAGCCAACTATCCTTCAACTAACCCATCTCTTCTTCACTACTCTATAACTAGTCAAATCTCTCCCCTGCACTACACCGCAACTAACCAAACTCCTTTTCCTCTCCACTAACCTCATTCCTCTTTCACCTACTTTATGATTTCGTAGCCTAATCAAGCGAGCTGTTGGTACCAGCTGCAAGCAGTTCAACGTAAGTACCATCGAAAGACTAATCAGGGACAAACTTGTGGAACTTCTTTGTTTCCCCTTATGAAGACATCAAGAAGTGTATGGGTAATATCCCAGGTGAATTTATCTCACAAAAAAAGAGTAGGTTTCGAAGTAATGACACACCAATACGCTATCCACTGTACTATGCTAGCCTAACAGTATAGACACTAGGAAAGTTAGCATGGGACTCACTGCGAGTACAAATGCTGGTTTTTACTGATATATCTCACACCAGAATGGTGTGCTCGTGCTCAATTTCTTTCAGAGGCTCTTTACTATATATTTATTAGGATATCGCGAGTAATTCAAAGCGGTTTTGAAGGGACTTCAACTCGAGTTTGCTACAGCCATCCTGATGCGAGATTTCTCTGTAAAAACCTACTTCTGTGGTTCCTGTGGGGCCCTTATCTTCCTAGTGTGTGTTTACCTCTACGTAGTTGGATAAATCTCATTAGGCCAACATGGTACAGTGGATAACGCACTGTTGCTAAGTTCATGAGTTTCTGCCATTGGTTGTAACCTCACTGCAAGCTGTATATAATAACATCATGATTTTGCTAGTTTTTTGTGTAAGAAATGAAGTTCGAAATACTACTTACCTTTGAGTTATTCCAGTTTTTGCACACACTTCGTGCTATTACACCATTATCACACTCTTTGAAGGTTTTTACAAAATCTGTGTATGCTAACTCTGCATTTTGTCTCCCAGCGCATCCAAAACTATGTAGTAATAGCCAGGCACTTGCGAGAGGCAGGAGCAACCTCCTCTTAATCTAAGCTGTCCTGGGGTGTGCAGTCGTTGTCATTGCATGTTTTTAGCAATACTTTTCAAAAATTTCTACTTTCCCATTATTCGCTCTCTTAAACACCCTTAAACTATAACAACAAGCATCAACGCTCTTCTCTACAACCACCACCCTCACTGCCACCACTTCAACAACCCCATCACCAAACCGGTTTCATTCTCGCAAAAACCACCACCACTGCTTCCACCCAGCTTTGTACTCCAACCCCTTTAGCCATTAACTGCAAAACTCTCACAATCCCTGCTACAAACAACCATCCAGGCCCACCATATCACCGTCAAGTTCATCACCCTCCCTCCAACACCTCCACCCATCCATCCTCATTATCAACTTCTCAACCCGTACTTTCACCCCTTCAATATAACCACCATCTTCAGCATCCATACACCAGCAACAGACCCAACCATATTATTATTATAATCAAAAAGAAGCGCTAAGCCACAAGGGCTATACAGCGCTGCAGGGTAGGAAGGAAGCAAGGGAATTGGATGGCAGAAGGGAGGGGGGATGATCAGCAGGTTACAGAAAACAGCGGGGCAGGGGATAGTACGGGGGTAGAGGGTAGCAAGAGATACAAGTAGAAAGGGCTGAAAGTATCAGAATTTGTGAAGTAAGTCAGTCGTTGTCAAAAAGTCAATGAGAGAGTCCGGATGAAAGGTGGGTCCATCAGCGAGAAGGGAAGGTAAAGAGAGAGCAGCGGGGCGAAGACGACGACAGAGGTAAATTCTGCGTGCTCGTTGATAAAGTGGGCAGTCCAACAGAATGTGGCTGACTGATAATGGAGCTTGGCAATTCTCACAGAGAGGAGCAAGACGCCTCTCCATGAGATATCCATGAGTAAGACGAGTATGGCCAATGCGAAGACGGGAGAGAGTAGTCTCCCAACCTCGACACTGGTGATAAGAAGACGGCCAGTAACCTATACTCGGTTTAATAGACTGAAGTTTGTTGCCGAGCATAGTAGACCAACGTTGTTGCCAACGGGTGTGAAGGTGGGAAGATATTACAGCAAAATAGTCCGTACATGGAATACCTCTATAAGAAACTGGTAGGTCATGTACTGCTGACCGCGCAGCAGTGTCTGCCTGTTCATTGCCCTGTACGTCAACATGACCAGGGACCCAACAAAAAACAATATCTTTATGCTTAGTAAAGATGCGGCGTAGCCAAAGTTGGATACGGAGGACTAAGGGGTGAGGTGTATCAAATTTTTGTATAGCCTGTAAAGCACTAAGGGAGTCTGAGACAACCACAAATGATGACACAGGCATAGATGCAATACGGATAAGTGCTGTAAGGATGGCATATAATTCAGCAGTAAAAATACTAGCTGAAGATAGTAAATGCCCTTGTACGACGCTGTCCGGAAACACTGCTGCGAATCCTACGCCGTCAGAAGACTTAGAGCCATCTGTGTACACAG